TTACTTATTTGTATATATAAATAATTATTCATAAAATTTTTTTACTTTGTAACCATTGCTTTCAAATCTTTTTTTATGATTTTGTTTGTACTTGTACGTGGAAAACTATCTAAAAATATCACACCAGCACGAAGTTTATAATGATCCATCATGTCTTTTGCTACAAAGTCTATCAGTTCTTGTTCTGTTACCTATAATAAAAATTAAATTATTGCAGGGAAAGCAGCATTCTAATGAACATATATAAAAACTATTTTCTATTAAAAATATCTTATAAATATATATTAATTCTTTTAATGTTCGCAACTAATATTTAATTTAATTTAATTTGAAATATAAAGAGTGTCTAATTTCTAATACATCGCTTGTGTGTAAATAAAACAGATCAAATTGAGAAAAATCCTTCATTTTGCGATTTTCTTTAATTAGTAACGAGTTATTAATTATTAAACTTTTCTTTAGTTTGACCTACTTTGTCTTTATACAAACAGAGTACCATTAGGAATCAAACATCCTGTATATAGAAATTACATAACTATAAGCAAAAATTTATACTTATTTAAAGCAATGTTTAAAATATTAATATATTTGACAAGATACGTATGAATTAATTTAAAATTTTTATAATAAAATTTTGAAATATTTTATTACCAATCTTACGTCTTATTATATTTTATTATGCTAATGATGATAATTGTATTAATAATGAGACATGTTTTCTGACAACACAGAATTCAAAACCGAAACATAAAAGAAAATATAAGGACGTTTAGTTTTAAACTTTATGTTACCTGCACTTTTGTCTCTTTTGTTTTTCGTTATCCTTCCGCGTTCTGAATAAATTCTTATTTATTTAAAGTAAATTAAGCAGCGCACTTTATCTTTTCCAAATTAGCGTGTAATTTATTAATTTTTTTATATAGTTCTTTATTAATTTTTTAATTATTTTACTAATATTGTATATTTTTACGTTCATAATTGTAATTCTTAATTTTATTCTAAATTTTTAAGAAAATAACTAAAAATACAAAAAATATAAGTAATTGATTCAAAATTATACTTATATACTTATATACAATTAATACTTAAATTTCTTTAATTTTTATTTTGTAACTTCATCATATCTTCAAATGAAAAATTACCGTAGCGTCTGGCCTTTTGATAATGAAAGCAAGAGGGTGTTCGCCGTCTAACGTATGAGGTACCCCTATTACTGCAACTTCTTGCACTGCTGGATGAGACGATAAGACATTTTCAATTTCTCCAGGTCTGATGTGTAGTCCTCTATACTTTATGACATCTTTTATTCTATTAATAATAAACAATTCCCCATCTTCATCTACATAACCACAATCACCCGTATGCAGCCATCCTAAATAAATTCCAAATTTATTTTCAAGATATTAGAGATTTTTATGATATTACATATAAAATACCTTTTTATTTTAACAAAATATAATTTAATTGATATGCTTAACTTAACATTAATTTAATACTTAACTTAACATTAATTTAATGTTTTATTTATCTAATTTAATATTTAACAGTTAATTCTTTTTCATTTCATTTTCATTATTATAATAGATAGAATCTATATACATTTACCATCTTCATCAATTACACTTTTCATCTCCGGACTTTTATAGTAACCTGTCATCATACTTGCAAACTTCGCCCATATTTCTCCCGCCTGATTCGGACCAAGTATTTTTCCACTTTCTATATCCACAATTTTCATTTGTACATTGCTGCAGACTGTTCCACAAGATCCATTCTTGTGATGCGGTTGTTGAAATGTTGCAAGACTAATGAGTTCTGTCGTACCTAGAGACATAATACAATATTATCTATATTTTACACAAATTATATACAAACAGATATA